CGTTTACCAATATTATGAATTTTTCTTATTAATACGCAGTATAACAAACCTGGAATATTTTTCGACGGTTAAGCTGCAGAAGTCCCTTCACCGTCAGCACTAAACTGCAGCGAACACATTCTCGCATTCATGAATTGAGACATTCGTTTTCCGGTCAATCTAAGTTCCGATTTTCCTGTTCGTATGAGCCACTGTTTGCACAACAAATCATCTCTCCATGACAGACGATGAAATCTAATGCCACACCCTTGTTTGGAATGAGTTTTGCAACTTCTGACGTTAAAAGTAGCGGGCATTTTCTAATTTGTTTTAATCTAATACTTCCAAACAGCAATGTACTCCATTTGTTATGTACATGTGCCCACCAGCGTTCGATTGGCTGGAGTATAAAGTGAATCGGAATGTTTTTCGGATAATTACGGAGAAACTCAGTTAAATTTCGGTATGAAAAGGGCTATGACACCTTCCACGAAATTAGAATTGTAAGTGCGCGTTGTCTGCTATCGAATGAAATGTTTTGATGGTTCCATTTTCGATAATAGTTAGACCCTTACATGATCCTAGAGCTATCACAGTCTTTGAATTATACTTCGGATGAACTTGATAAGTTTCTTGCTCATCTGCTCTCAATCTAATGTATCTCAGATTTTGTGTCATTTAACTATAATTTTATATCTCTAATTGTTTGTTCAGCTGGCATGCAGTGAGTTATCGATCAAACTAAAAAAGATATTATATAATAGCATAAAAATTTAGAAATTACGTGATATAGCCAAGAAGATTCTTATTGGAAAACCTGAAAAAGCGACCGCTTTCACAGGATTTTAAAACATTTATCGGTTTGATAAACAAATCGTACTGGTAAATTTCATTGCAACAAATCTCTATCATCTGCTGGAGCCAACTGTAAAACGTGAACTTCAAAGACATAATGGTACAAGACAATAGGTGCAATATCATGTTATATTTTCAAAGCTCCTTGTGACAGATAATCAAAAACCAAATTTTCCAAAACAAAATAATGATTCAATAAATGCTTTCTGACTAGATGAGAAAGAAAACGTCTATCCGAGATATATTGCAGAAAAAAAGCTTCACAATCGACACTAAACTTACTATTTTATAACAATCATTACGTTTGGATTAAAAATTTTAATGGACTAGTTGGCAGAAAGTACAATAAACGAAATAATACAATGTTCTTTTGTTATCGCTGCTTGCACGGCTGTACAAACAATGAAACATTACAAAAGCATTTGAAGTACGGTAGTGACGTAAAACGAATAACAATGACTTCCAAAGAAAAGTTTGTTACAGTTCGTCAATCACAATCACAAACAAAAATTTCCTTTCGTTATATACGCTGATTTCAAATATTTACCTCATCCTGTACTTAGCATAGAAAATAATCCTAACCAATCGAGTTAGAAAAACTCACAATCATGTTCCATGTGGGGTATCGTACAAGATAGTTGTTGAATTGATTCGAGATTATCCAAACCAATCAAATTATATCGTGGTAATAATCCGTCTGTCTGGTTTCTCAAGCAATTAATTAGCAAAGTTGATAATATATTTAATCGTTTGAAAATAATAACTTCAAAGATAAAACTAACGTCTCAAGAAGAATCTGATCACGAGCAAGCATAATTTCGTCATATTTGTGAAAAAGCTTTTGACGTTGATAAAGTACATAACGATTGCCATCTAACAGGACAGTATCGTAGAGCGGCTAATGATCGATGTAATTTAAAATTTCATGCTCCAAATTTTATTTCAGTTGTTTTTCACAACTTTCGAGGATATGAAAGCCACACATCATAGAATCTTTTGGTGATCCTGACATAAAATCTGGTTTAAAACTTGATAAAGTTATCAAATGCATTCCAAAAACTTCTGAAAAGTATATGTTAGTTACTTTAGGCAAGTTGTGTTTTATTAACATCCTACAGTTTATGGTAGCATCGATAGATGAGCTAGAGAAAGGCTGTAGCGAGTTTGATAATCTACGAGACTGTTTTGGATATAAATATAATCTACTGACTAAAAAAGGAATATTTCCGTATGAGTATCTCGACGATTGGTGTAAATTTGATGAAACCTGTCTACCTGACAAGGACAAGTTTTATTAGCAACTTAAAAATGAAAATATAGCCAATGACAAGTACAAATATGGAAAGAATTTGATTGTAAGACGTTTGGTGATTATCATGATTTATATTTGAAAACATATGTTTTATTGCCGGCGGGCGTATTCGAAAGTTTTCGTCGAGTAAGCTATGACAATTATGGACTATATCCTTGTTGGTATTATTCTGCTCCCGGACTGTCATGGGACGCTCTCTTAAAGTTTTGTAAAGTAAGGTTAGAATTACTGTCTGACGTCGATATGTTTAATTTTATTGAGAAAGGTATCCGAGGAAGTATTAGCGTGACAACAAAGAAATATGCTGAAACAAACAACAAATATTTAAAAGAGTACAATCCTAAGCTTTCTTCGAAGTAGATAATTTATCTAGATTGTAATACTTTCTACGGTTATTATATGGCAGAACCAATGCCCTGTGATGGCTTTCCTTTGATCACGGCTGAGCAATTTTTATCAAAGACAGAAAAAGATACACGACGATGTTTTGTATTTCTTTGAGGTTGATATTGATTATCCTATTTCGTTACATAATTTACACAACAATTATTTTTCTGTGCGGTATCAATGATAGTACATTATAGTATGTTATTTCGATCGATAGCATCACCAAGACAAAATTCTCTGGTAAAAATACTAATACCAAATTTACTTGACAAGAAAATTTATGTTTTGCATTACAAAATTTTAAAACAAGCATTTGATGCTGGTCTTGTTTTGAGAAATGTTGATCGTGTACTAAATGTTAGTCATTCTCATTGATGAAAGGTTATATTAACTTGCTCACTTCGATAAGAACTGCATCTTCCGTTGGAGCTTCCGTATTAGATTTATCTAAATGGCTGATGTATGACCTTCACTACAGTTTTGTTAAAAAAATCAGTGGCCGTCCAGTAAATATTCCACGTGGACGTTTTCTAAAAACATCATATGGTTATGAGTCGTTCTGGAAATTGTATGTGGGCGGTATACTTTATCGACTTCATGTAAGGCTTGGATGATGTGGAGTATTGATTAATTTCCAGACTGCGTACATGATGTAACATCTGTTACAAACAAAAAGTGTTGGATATAAGGACCTGCGCCAGAACCAATACCTACCCTTACTACTATATGAAAAATCAATATATAACTACCATCTGCCACCAAATTTGTTGGCTAGCCAAGCCTTCAGTTTTATTTAAAAACAATACATAACTTTAGCCTGCTATCCAAATCCTCCAGTTTTATGTAAAAGACTTTCATAATTATATATAGCCATCATTCTTGTAGGCAAAAATCAGACGGATTAAATCAGTAGAATATTTAAGTTTAATTAAGAACACGGTTAAGTTTCCCACAATATTTTTGCCGAGCTTTTCCGATAACATAATTTGCCGACAAAATCCTTTTCCTTTCAAGTATTCTCTAGGTGGCCTCATCATCTCTAAAGGAAAGCAATCAATAGTTTGCGCTCTTATGTTATGTAGAAAAGCGAGGCAAGACCTTATGAGCTCAAAACCTCCTCTAACTATACTACTTCGTATACAGGACAGCCGCTTCAGCTAAGTTCCAATGCATCCAAAATCTGCTTATTTGCCTCTGGCCTCTCGCCACAAGACTTGAAGTTACTTGGTGGGTAAGGATGGATGATATCAAAGCTTGCACGCGAGTTCAATTTCCATAAGGGAAAAATGCCCAGAATCATCCTCACACTCTTGTCTCAACCTTTATAAATCTAGTGGCACGACAATGTTGAGACGTTTGGAGACATCCGGATGCAAGAATGTCGATCGTGTCCTTCATTGTCCTAATAAAACCCTACGCTGCCCACGCAGCTCTTGATAACTACTTTCACTGGGTGCATTGGAGTGGGAGGAATGAACTTATCTGCTTGAGGCATAACGGTACCAATTGTATAATCCCAAGTGGGCGGAGCTTAAGGTGTATGGAAACTTGCATTCAGAAATAAACAACAAAACTAGCTGTGATTGGTGCATTATGTAAGAGATTACTTTCTGTTAGGATTTTAAAAAAGTTGAGCCTCTTGTCAACATGTGAGATTATATTAATTCATATCTAGTTCACATTTTGTATTTTTTAAGATTTTTTTAAAATGGACACTTAACTGAAAATGTGTCCGGTGTAACTCACGTTATATGCGCTCTCATGTTATACCTGTTATATGTTATATGTGTAGTACCTGTTGTTTATGTTGTTGTCCGTTTATAAATAGAAAAACAGTTGGCATATACGACAGGACTGTAAGAGTAACCTCCCTTGCGGGGTCCTAACAAAGACGACTTTCTCATTAAGCATACGATTTCAATCGGTTGTTAAATCTGTCCTTAAATTCCTATTTAAAATATATTATTGAAAAGAAAGAGAATGCATGCCAGTCATGTGAGTGTAGTGATGCTGTAACAATATACAACATCTTTATTCCTTTACTATGGAATATATATATATATATATATATATATATATATATATATATATATATATATATATATATATATATATATTAATCATTCAATATCAAACATCATGCATAGTAAGTAATAAGTGCAAGTTATAAATTTTCACTTTAAAAAATAATTTAAAAGCTCAGGGACAATATATTCTGAGAAAATGTATTTATATTAGCTAAAACAATCACTTGATATATTGCTGACCTTTGGCGTTGTAATTATCTTGTTGCATGAAGACAAAGCAAGATGTAACGAGCATTACATTTTTCATCAACATTTGGCCGTTCGTGCAACGAATGTAGAAAACATTGCAATGCCATGTTATCGGCGATGCCATTTGGTCTTCTTCCAGTCAACGGGGTCACATGATTGGAATCATGTTACATGCATACCAAGACCTCTCCGGGGTGGTCAAATGATAAAGAGCGTCCGCCTCGGATGCGAAAGATCGTGGGTTCAATCCCCGGCCGAGTCATACCATAATGGTACTAACAGCTGCCTCGCGAGGTTAGTGTTAAGACTAGTTTTCCGGGTGTCGGATAATGTGACTGGGTGAGACATCATGCTACGTGTCTGCGGCTTGATGCCCCAGTGCTGCAGTCATCGTAGGGATCTCTCTCTCTCTCTCTCTCTCTCTCTCTCTCTCTCTCTCTCTCTCTCTCTCTCTCTCTCTCTCTCTCTCTCTCTCTCTCTCTCTCTCTCACACACACACACACACTTAAGTGCATACCTGTAACCTGATGGCTATCACACTTTCCATATTAAAGTATAGTTTGTGGTCTGTACTGTTAATAAGAAAATTCCAAATACATAAGTTTAAATTACTTGTTTGCTTGTTCACATTTTACTTTTTTCCTATTTTATTTCACTGCATGTAGTTCTGTAAATATTTATCCGCCAAGTCGATATATTCGGCGATCACTAGTCTTTTGTAACACCTGTGTAAAGATAATGCAAAGTACGTGGTATTATCTACTTATCCAAAATATACCATATGAGAAGGCACTTCCCTCAAAGTGCTCTTTAAATTAAGAAAAATACAAATTTTAACAAAATTACAAACTGATCACGTAGGATACGTGGACAGTATCATACGTTTAATTATGTTTGATGTTGTAAAAGCCATTAATCGTTGATATTAAACAAAGTTGTGTTGTGAACAGGATTTGTACACTTTTCTATATTCATATGCTTTCTCTAGTGGATTATACAGTGTCTCGACAAAGCAACAGATTGGGAATAAGTAAATTCTTATTTGTACAATTAGTTACATACATATTCATGATTTTGCGATATTTTTCTGCATTTGTAATAAACAATTATTGATGATGTATCTGACATTTGAACGCTGCGTAAATTAGCATTTATCGTTGTACAGTGTAGTCATTTGCAAAGATATGACGTTCTATAGGAAGCAGGATACAAGAATGCAGTTTGATGGCGGTCAAGATAAAGGGGAAATATTAATGTAACACTTTGTACTTCTTGCCTTTAGCCCATTACAAGGACGCCATGAACGCAGTTGGGGATTTAAACTAAATTCAATTGCGATATCATAGACAGATGTGTAAATGGAGAGAGAATATAAAAATATTCCCGACTGGTCATCATCGGAATTATCACAAAGTTTGGGACTAAAATGTGTAATTATAATTATAACCCAAATACATGTGGAATTGTAATTTCGACTGCATGATAAAATGCTGTCTATGACCAGTACAGGCCTCCATACCTTGTTGTAGGAACTACTCTCAAGGTTGCACAGAATCCATTTTATTTCCAAACAGTATCTGCAGAAAAAACAGTTCAGTTTCTTCTTCAATTTTTATGCAAAATCTATTTCTTGCAAATAAATGGATAAACATTAGCGACAATGATATTTCTTTAACATGATTATTACATACTGACTCCGTATCGTTGTACACTACATAGGACTTTGTGGACAAAAATGATGGAATGTTTCAATTATACGTTAATTCTTTTGTATACTAACTGCTACATGCTGCATATACTTAAATGAAAGATAATGGATGTCAGTTACTATTACCATAATTGTTCGCCATTTCTCCACAGAGTACCATCCCCACCCATCTGTATTGAATTGTGCATTACCAATAACTCTTATTTTATCTTACCTGATTTGATGAATGACGATGTCTTAAAACGACGTCTGTGGCTTGCTCACACTCATCCACTGTGGATGTTTTATGTCACAATCACCTCGTGAAAATTTGCTTGGACACCGTTTTATTTTCAATCTTGCCTTTGGCATATACGAATAAAGAGGGTGATTTGGGGGGAATGATAATAGCACAATCGCTTTTGGAAAGATTATATCTTTCAAACCGAATTCCCTATCAATACCGTGACACAATTTCCTAGGGAGTGCGAATACATAATTAGCAAATTTACCTATTAAGTACGCATGACTCAACAGACCAGAGGATGTCCTTAATGTCACTCAGTTGGAATTTTCTCAACGATTTACAGATCAGAAATAGTAACATGAATTAGAAGCTTGTGAGCGGAACACGTTAGGCAGTCGGGGTCAGTAGAAGATGATGTCCAAAAAAACTATAACGTCAAGTTATTACATCATGCGAGATTAAATAGCAAGGAGTACTATCCCAAGTTCTCGGCTTGGAGGGGGGGGGGACAAATCACGACCCACTGCCAGCCCAGGCAAAGGAAAGGTAGTATAGCCCCACCCAAAGCTTAAGAATATCACTGAAATTAGGTCACAATCCCATTCCTTACGATACTGACATTTTATATGATGTATCCTTCTGTCAGACAAATGATCTAAAAATCCCCTACGAAGCATAACAATTACAATCTGATCCTTCAGAAGGTATGAATTACATATCCGCTAACTCCACAGGAAGTAAACTGCACACAATAGAAAAATAAGCATTGGACCACAGGAGTCTGCAGTTTTATCAATAAAGCACGACGAAATTTTTGACTACATGAAATCACCTTAACGGTATTATATTTACTGTATAATATTTACATTATGTCACAATGGTGCTAACTATATCAAGAATAGTGAAAAGGACAAAATAAAAGAAAAATAATAAATAGCAAAAAATTAACCACGTGTATATAAAGGACTTAGTATTTATGTGTATTTGATTGATTGATTGATTGATTGATTTTGTCTATTTATTCTTTTTATTTATTTTTTTATTATTGTATTAACTACCTAAGAAAAGAAATAATAAAGAATTAAACACAATAAAAATTGTTATGTAAACAGACGCACTCAGCACAGGGTTAAAACGGAACATTTATTACGTTTAGGCAAATATGACTAGATGATTTCTTATTCTACACCCTTGGTTAGTCGATAGTAGTTTGGAAGGTGACGTCATATCATTAGGCATACATTTTAAATGAGTAATGGGGGTGGGTGTATATAACGCATTAAATATCATGATGATGCCTTGTAAAACGTTTCTAGTGTACTTTTTCCACAGGGAGCAAAGTTGAGCTACACAGAATATGAAAATTCAGAATATGGTCATTCCCAATAAAAGGTTGCAAGTCTCTAGATATTATTCCCAGAAGGGTATTGACAAAATCAGTCTCAGAAAATGAATTTAAATACATGCAAACTTGTTCTCTGAATCGATCAATAATGTAGTACCAATACCTACCCTGGTTCTGGTGTAAGAACACTACATGCCCCTATGAAATGGTCAATGGAAGAAGTACTCAAGGTATGACAGCATCATCCGTAGATATAAAAAATTGAACACGATATTGGCAACAACTAAGAATGATTCAAGAGAAGTTGCAAACTTCCTTTGAACTTCCCTTAATATAGAAGGAATCAAACTGCCATCAAGGAATAGCTAATGAAATCTATTTAGCCATGCGTCTTCAGTTTGTCTACACATCAAATGAGGTACCAACTTTGCATTTGACACTACGTTTCCAGTATTTTTTTGTTTTGTTTTTAAACTGGGAATTGACCTTGAATTATCAATAATTCAATAACCTATTTAACTCAGATTTATCAAGTTCTCCATAAATGTCAAAAATAAAACCAGTTTGTTCCGTTTGGGGCGTTTTGATAGTTGAAGAATCTGAGTAAAATGTTTTTTTTTCTCTTCAAAAAATAGGCTGCAGGCAGTCTACATAATTACTCCAAGAAAAACAGCTCATTCATATCCATGCAGGCTTTAATGGGTAAAACACCCAGTATACTCAGTGCAATGTCAGTTCGTGTGTATCTGTCGTGATTGTCCTTGCATTTGCTTAATGCAAAAGCGATGACCTGTCTCTAATGTGAATTATCTTGTTGCATGAAGACAAAGCAAGATGCTCCGAGCGTTAATTTTTCATATAATTTGACCTTGCAACGCATGTAACAAACATTGCGATACCATATTGGCCACAGATAGTCGCAGAATGCCAAGGAGTGCAATACGCGACTATAATACCTAGTAAACCAGTCGGTCAGACTCCTCCACGTACACTTGCAACGCATGTAACAAATATTGCGATACCATATTGGCCACAGATAGTCGCAGAATGCCAAGGAGTGCAATACGCGACTATAATACCTAGTAAGCCAGTCGGTCAGACTCCTCCACGTACGAAGACTATCCAAGGTGAACGAAGGTTACGTCAATTTACACTGTCATGCAAAACCCGATACCGAAGCCTGAAGAGAAAGAGAATGTCAGGATGTTGAAAGTGACCGAAGACAAGAGTAGAAGAACTCTTCAGATAGGAAATCAAGAAAGAACAAGAGTGGACAAAAAAAGTACAGACTTCAGTAGCAATAGAGAGAACAGCAATAACAACAACAGCAACACGTCCCTATTGATATGATTTGGATTGGTATTGTACGGCACAGTAGCAAACGTATGTTAGTTTAGTGCCGAGACTATTAGAGTAACGTGTCTTGCCAATGCACAAGCGACTGCAACTCAACCGGATTCGTATGATGGTAGGATTAGAACCTACACACTTTAGGTCGGAAGCTTAACACACTAACCACTGTACCTTCAGTACCCCCGCCTCTGTTAATCTCCACTTAACGACATGCAAGAGAGCGATCGGGTCCATTCTGCACCCCGAACCAGCAAGTAACAAATATGGACAAGATGAATTACTTACGGCAAATTACAGCAGAACCTTGTAAGAGTGTAGAATGAACAATTCAGGTTGTCCTTGTGACATACAGTCCCTGATCAAACCAGCTATCAGCTTATTTGATAAGTACTTTTGGTCTGTTCCCATCAGTCCCAGCATTCGGCTGTTCCACTCCGAAGTCAAGCTTTGTTTTTAACTAATACGTTGTCTAAAATTAAACTTTTCATTCTCAACAAATCATTAAGATTATTTCTGCAGCTAATTGGGTGTTATTGGTATCGGAGAAGTTAAATTCCTCCACAAAACAACTCTTGGCCCAGCAATTTAATGGTGTAATTAGCTTACATGTGCTTTCCGCAAATTCTGACGCATTCTATGAAACAGAATAAATTGCAGTTGTCATACGAGCCTCAGTCATTGTTCTTCCTTAATAGGCATTTCCGCCATATAAGCATTTATACAGGCATTCTTACCTTTATGGCGGATCTGGCCAGAAAAAAACTAACTATTAATTAAATCTTGTTTTAACATGCAGCGGACATAAATTATGTCGGATCAGTAAATTTCCAAAATCGTGCTACAAGAATACCCTGTGTAATCGTATCAAACAATTTAAACATACGATGACTATTTCATTTCTTTATTATTTTTAAGTCTTACTTGAAAAGATCATGACCTAATAAAGGTTGTATTTGCAAATTTGAAGTAAATTCTTTTTAATCCGGTGTAGCATGCATTGCTTGAAATTTTGAGCAATCTTTGCTAAACAGTAGCCTGGCCAGATTTACTTGGTGTGAAACGTGCGAATTTTATTATTCGGCAGACATAATAAAACATGGGTTTCGCAAGTTTTTTTTTATTACAGAACCCTTTTTTGAGACAAATGTATATTATTCTATGGTAAAGAATTTATTCATACACTGCTTACTGTGTGAAAAAAAAATTGCCGGGGCCGTGTGGTGTAAGATGGTGTGGTGTAAGATGTTCGTCTTTTCACATCAGACCAATGACTTCTCACCTCTGTCCGCCTGGGTTAGAGTCTAGGGCTTAGGCAACGGGGTAAGGCAAGAAAGCTTGCCAGTAGCTTGTCATGGGTCAGCAGTTAATTTGGTGGTGTGGGGGGAGGTTCCTCAGGTTTTTCCTCCGCCAAATACACTGGCTGCCTTGATAAGCATATCGTGTGATGGGAAATGGTGTTAAACCTACAACAATAACAACAAACCATTACTGATGAATCATCTAATGATTTTGTACCCTTATGATTCGCCCTCAGATAAACTCTTTCATCGTGCTCCGATGTACGGGCTTTAACTATTTCGTTGTGCTCAAGTGCAGAACTTCAACTTGTCATTCTTGTTCGGGTATATGGGCATGAACATTTCCGTCATGCTAGAAGTAGAAATATTCACAGCTTTCTTGAATAATACAAGCTTGCTCAGCTTTGATGTACTGCTTGGCGAAATAGAAATGTCGGCGGTCGCATTCTACACTGATTACATCATAAATATGACGCACACCAGAGGTCAACAATGACTTATAACGACTACTGGTATCGCAAAACTCAGTACTCGTGGGTAGAGGATGGTACGTTGATTGTGAAGAAATGGCTAAAATTATAGTAATAGTGATGTACCATTTCCTTCAGTTAAGTATTCCACAATATTTACCAGTTAGTATGTGAAAGATTAACATTTAATGAAAACGACTCCATTCCTTTTTGCTCAGGGAATTTAATACAGTGTACAGCAATATGAGCCTGTATGTAGTGGGGGAAAAAATCACCGATGCGTAAAAACAACCCACGAGTAAGAGATGTTGTATAAAACTTCGAGAAATAGAACAATAGATGTTTTCTGTACATACTGTTTGTAAATAAAATTGATTTATGTCTGTCCTGAACAACCTTGACAGTAGTAATTTAAACGGTAGGGAGGCCTGTACTAGCCATCAACAGCTTTTTATGACTGCATGTATTTTAGCAATAAAAATAGTAAAAAACTTTGTTTGTCCCCAAATAAATAGTCAGGAATTTTTTTTTTCTTCATATTTTGTGCACACGTCTTTCTGTACTTACTTTACATACATCAATTCTATCACACTTAAAATTCAGTTGTCTATACTTTATTAATTAAAGAGTATTGCATCTACATCTTTGACCACCTTCATTACATCCTTGCAATTGGTTCAACAACGGGTGTACTTAATGTTACGACTTTGGTCACGTGATTTAGACCATCAGCCACATTAATCTGCCTTGTGTCTTTCTTTCTAGAGCGCCTCGCGTCTTTGTAAATGACTAGACTCTTCAACGATGAAAAGCAATTTCCATCGTTTTCAAATGTCACACACAGAACAATATAAATAAGTATATATTACAAATACATAAAAATGTCACAACATCATCACATGCATTGAACGCAAGGCTCAGTTTATATGAAGAATGCAACTCTCGTTGCTTGTCGCTTAGTTTTCATACAACTTTATAATTACAGTGCAATGAAAACTGAATGCCGTGATCTACAGCGTGTAAAATGAAATATTAATTTAGCTATTTTAGCTCATTAAAATACATTTTCCGCAAAACAGATTGTACCTGAACTTTAAAATGACATATATATTTTCCGTAATTACGTATTATACGTGATAGCGTGATAGCTGGATATGTCACTACCACAGGTCTGTAGATTTCCTATCTGGAGTTCTTCTTCTGTATCTGACTTATTACTTTTATTTGACAAATCTGGAGTTGTTCAGTATGAATTATTAACTGTCACTGACTTTGGATTAAAATATTATTTTGGAATTATTGAGAACTCATTCAAAGACTTTCTGGACTGTATCATTGTAGAACAACAGACAATTTCAAGACTATTAGAATTCATTCGCAATATTGTATATTTTGGACGTATAGGACAATTTATGATGACCCAATATTTAATTTATAAAACTTTACGTGTCTCTTGCATTTTCGTTTTGGACTGCAGACAAATAAATAACTTGCTGATTTCACTTCCTTTACGTTACCGAATTCAGACCTAGAGTTATAATATACGTTAAGCATGCACGAACACTAATTTGCGTCACAAATATCATCATACTTATTGTACAAGCTTGGTACCTGACGTGTTTCTGACAGAGATTTTTTTTAACTTAACTTTTATATTAAAAAAAAATCAGTCTTTTCATTTTGTACATTATTCTGACACTAACTCCTTAATGCCGAGCGTCTAGCGAGGCAGCCGTTATTATCATTTTTATAAGTCTTTGGGATACGAAAACGCGACTTCTCAAATCCGAAGGCGGACGCTATAGCTGCTAATGCACAGTGATGTCTTGCTTGTGAGATTAATAATCTTGTCACAGAATAGGGCTACAAATAACTTGGTTTTGCCTTTAACTTTATTTTTCACCTTGCTCGTTGTATAGGCGTACAACGTTACCTGGGGTGAATCACTGGCCACGAGGTTAAGCGATTTCGAAATTACATGCAGGCAGAAAGCCACAGAAAAGCATGGATTACATGAACCATAACTATTATTCACTCCTATGGATTTAAGCTTGATACAATGTGAACTGAGATATGAAAATACCGCGAAAAATCTATTATAGTGTAGTTAACATACCTAAGCATCCTGTGCCCAAATGCTTTTTGTGCATGTCTAACCACTTACCTCCCGTTTTAATCTTTTGTTTGATTAATTACCTCACCAAAGTGAGGCTTCAAATAATAGTCTATAGAGTCACTGAATGTTTCTCTCTACGGTAATCTTTAGTAAAGCTTATTGGTGTAGTCCCTCTCAGATGTAACATGATCTGAGGGACCCCCAATCGAAAATTTAAAGGGTTTTTATGTATTCATGTTTCTTCAATATGTATGTGTAGTTGTGTTACTTTTTTTAAAAAAGAAATAATTTTTATTTTATTAATTTTGACATAGGGTAAGTACGCCATTCAAATTTTTAATTTTCGTAGTTTTCTTTCCGTAATGTTTTAAATAAAGAAAAAGTTGAAATTTTTAAACTAATCTAGATCAAATATCATGAGCTGCTAGTCACATAAATTCATATCCCTAGTACCTTATGCCACACGTGCACAAACTGTGATCCAAATATTGAGTACAATGTGCACGGGCTGCACATTTTCCCTAATTCAACTATGTTCACATCATATACTAATTATTGACGCAAATTCTATTTATAATAAATAGATGCATCAAAATTATTTAAAGTTTAATTCTTTTTTTCACATTATTTAAGTTTATATTAATCACTTAAATTAATGCAGTGGCATTATCCAGGAACTGTTTACTTTGAATTTAAATGATATTAGTATTTCTAAATCTAGACACTTTATCATAAAGTTAATAGCTATAGCAGAAATAGTTAGAAATGATTATTGATGCAAATTTAATTCTGCATTTCACGTTATGAAAATGAATAGCGTTAACATTTCCCCCAAAAAAATGCATGATGTTGGAATTTATGTCATAAATTTAACAGCCGTAGCAAAGATAGTCAAAGAAAATTGAGCAGTGAAGATTGTCCAGTCTACAGTCAAAATTATAACTATTCTCTTAGTATAAGTATATCTCGTTTCTGCAACAAATTCTAATCAATATTTTCTTCACTTTAAAGCAATTGTCTATCATGCATTCTTATAATTGTTTATGTTCTGCTTGCAAGACTTTCAGCAGTTTTAGTAAAATTGCTTGGCTCTAGTCCATTTCCGTTCTGTGTCGATACCATATCATTTTATAATTACTGTTCAAAATCTGTATCAAAGTCCTTTTTTCACTATTTTGCACATAAATTCCTTTAACTTTATTGATTCTGATTATCCTCTTTTCCATCATCACGACATTCTTTCAAAGAGCAGGGGCAATCCTCATGGCATTCAACTCGGGTATGTTGTAGCACTTC